TAAAGCTTATCAGAACCTGTGTGATAGTGAAGAAAATGTTAAGATGCTATTAATAGCTATGAATGTTTATAATTAAAAACATAAAACAAAAATCTCTCAGTGATGTACTTCAAGATAATAAAAATATCAAGAACAAGTGAAACTTAAAATAAATAGAATGAAATAACAAAAACTACAAACAGCAATGCAGAAAACAGAATGGAGGAGATAAATATTACAAATAATTAGTGAAATAAGGAATTTGTACTTTTCAAAGAGAAAATAGTGACAAACCCATAGCCAAACAACTCAAACAAAGACAAGAGCTAAATAAGCAAATATAGATGAAAAAGAAGATATTACAGCAGAGAAAATTCAAATCCAGAGGGTCATTAGGATATACTTTCAAAATGAATGTATCCAAAAATATCCTAGGAAGTCAACAAAAAGGGTATATATATATATATATATGACCCACTAAAATGAAATGAAGAGGGTATCATAATGCAGATAGAACAATAGTGACCCAGAATATTCAAGCATTACCAGAGTCTCCCAGCATAGAAATGGATGAAACTTGCCAGATGCAATTTTACGTTTTACTAGATCCTTAAAGAAGAATTAACAGAAATATGTCTCTGAGTATTCCATAAAACAGAAAAGGAAGGAATGATATAAAAACAATAATAGGAATCCAGCAACACTCCCATACTAAAACACCAAACCACCTAAGGATATACAGAAAATGAAAGGTATAAACTAAGTTACCTGATTGACGTACATGTAAAACTCTCAAACTATTTGTAAACTGCATTCAATAATGTATTTAAATGATCATACAATATGATCAAGTTAGTGTTATTAGGGGGATTCAAGGATGATCCAGCATAATAAAATCAAGAAATGCAATAGGATCCATTAACAGATTTAGGTGTAGAAGTCACATGATTATCATATAGATGCAAAAAGTCTTCATTCAATTTCATCACTTCAGGATAAAAGCCCTGAAGAAATTGGGAATAAGAAGAAAACATTTTGTGGCTGTGGCGATGGCTCATCATTTAAGAGCAATGGTTGCTTGTTGCATAGGTTACAGGTTCAAGTCCCAGCACCTACACGATGGCTAACAACCATCTGTAACTCCATTTCCAAGTGAATCCAAAGCCCTCTTCTGATCTGCTTGAGCATTGCATGTCATGGGAGAAATTATACACATGCAGACAGTACACTCATACACATAAAATTTTTTAAAAAATGTAAAATATTTTTTTAAAGAAATACATCTCATAACTAAGGCTATGTAAGGAAAATTCATGTTGAGCATTATATTAAATGCAAAGAAAATGAAAACATGACCTTTAAAACCAGGAACTGGAAAAGACAAGATTTTTCACTCTTAGTCAATGTACTGTTTGAATTCCTATATATATAGTCTGACTTTACTATTTATATATATATATATATATATATATATATATATATATATGTGTGTGTGTGTGTGTGTGTGTGTGTGTGTGTGTGTGTGTGTGCGTG